TGCCGCTGCAGATGAAGCCATGCGCCATACAAATGAAGCCTCCGGGTGTAAATAATATAGTGTCTACCTCAGTGACAAATGTGTCACAAAGGCCACACTAACAAACTCCCATCACGCAGTCCAAGAGACCAGCTGTCTCCTGTGGGAAGGGCAGCTGATGCCTGACGCCTGAGACTGACACAGGACTGCCCCTGTCACTCAGAACTGCAGCTCCAGGGCGACCCCGACCTCCCATGATTAACATTCTGGGACTCCGCTCAACTGCAGGAAGACAAAGAGCCCGGGAGTCAATGCCCAGCCACCGCACACAGCCACGGCCCAGCTTCAGAGTCTGCTGAAACTCAGGGCTGCAGCGTGTGCCCTGCCCCAGGACGGGACACGGGAAGGAAAAAGCACTATTGGACCTTACAAGACATGTCATGGCACCTTGTACAGTTCACATTATCGGTAAATGTAGTGTTTTCTTAAGTACACACTGTATCACATACCCTAAACTGCCCAGCCACTGTAAAAATTAGTCTTCCAGGTCACTAACATAAAAAATATATATATATGAACCTCTCTTAATATTTACTTCTTGATCAATTCATCTGGGCCTAAATATACTTAGGTTTAAACTATTCACTTGTCAGTTAGCTGAGTTTTTTTAAACTCATGTTTTTGGAAGTGACTGTTCCTATGGAAAATTTACTGCCTTACATCAAACTGAGATTAAAGAGATGAAACATAAATTCTACAAAACAATACTGAAACTAATAAAAAAGGAAATAATAACCCAGTTCGATAATCAATATTCTGTAAAATTTTGACCTTAATTATAATTCTCTACTGTAATTAATGGAAATTTACAAGTTTAAAATAAACTAAAAGCCCAGTTCAATGATTTAAAACATTGGGTGTTTTTAGCACTAGTATCAATAATTATATTAGCTACACATACATGTGTTACATACACATATAATTTTTAAATCACAGTAAAAGCTGAAGTTTTCATCCAAATTAATTTTTAAACTAAGTAAGTTTGGAGAAAATGCTAAAAAGCAGGGATGAATAGGTAGAAGACAGAGGGTTTTCTGGACAACAAAACTACTCTGTATGATACTGTAATGGTGGATACACGACACTATACCTTTGTCAAGACCCACAGAATGTACAGCAAAGAGTAAACCCTCATGAAATCTATGGACTCGAGTTGAAACTAATGTATTAATACTCATTCAACGTCTAAATCAATCACTTGTAAAAAATGTAGCACACTGATGCCAGATATTGATGACAGGGGAATAGTGTGAGGGGCATACGGAAACTGTGCTTTCTGTGTGATTTTCCAGTATGTGTAAAGTTTTCTAAAACAGTAATATCTCTTGGAAATGAATTTTAAAATGCCACTCAATGCCAAATTTTTGTCGTAAGAATAACGGCCAGAGCAGAATGCCAGCTCATCATTTACAGACGTGCTGGGCACCGTCACAACTTGAGGATGTGCCCTGGACACGCATGATTCCAAAGAGGAAAGGCGCCAGAGACCAGACCTAGGACAACCATTAAGGAGAGCCAGTTCAGGAGAGCTGACAGGGAGAGGCTGATGGAGGGGCAACACGGTCAGCGCCTGACTGTCTTTAATAGCTTTGTTTTTAAGTTGCTCCAGGTTGCCCTCTGCTATGGCGATCAGAAACCGGGGCTACTGGAGAATTTCCAGCAGAGAGGAATCTGTGACAGACCCAGATGCTTGCTAAAGCACCAGAAGAGCTCAGATAGGAAGCTGGGGACAGAGCTGCAGGACCAACCCCAAGACCGATTTGCTCCAAACTGCTCTATCCAGTGCTTTGAACTCCATCTCCACCACACGGCTTCTGCCCTCATGACACCCACAAAGGAGGAATGGAAGCAGAAAACCAGACTTTGGGAATGGACAATGTAACCGACATCAAAGGAAAGGGGACACAAGATTTAGGGAAAGCTGAAGCTTACCAAGAAGAATCAACAGGCTGACTGAGTGGAAGGAGTGACTCAAAATGACTATGGAAAAAAAACTTACTCTAATCTGAGGGTCTCTGGAGTACAAGGCACAGAAATAAAGAAAAAGACCACTCTCATTTATCTGTAAATCAGAACTACACTTACAAGATGTTGTTATATACTGTGACATTGCGGGGGCAGAAGGGAAACAAAACCAAAATAGCCACATGGAACATGGAGGGGGAAAAATGCAGAACTACAAATCTAGAGTGCTCACAAATTAGGGAAAATGTTTAAATCTTACATATTATTTTTATTTCTTGTTGGTTACATAAAGGTTTTATGACAGCTTATCTCTCATACTTACCTCTTTCTGACGACCTACAAATCGAACTTTCCTGTAGTCTTTATCATCATAAGCCTGAAAAGAAAAAGACCATATGTGATTTTTACAGCTTCATTCAGAAAGAGGTCACTTCATATCAATCATAAACATTACAGAAAAGTGGTCTTCTTAATGTTCACGTCATTCAGGATCAAACACATGAGGGGCCAAGTATAGCTGTGCAACTAGGGGCATTTTTCAGCAGGACCCCTAAGATGACAATGGGCAATAATCTGAACTGGAAGGCTGCCAGGTGAAGTGGGACTGCAAAGGAGGCAAATTCAGGCAGGGAAGGTGCACCCCCCCTTCTCCACAAACGGCCCGTGGTTCTGTCCCTTCTAAATCTTCCGGGTGATACGTTAATAATATAGGTACTTACTCTCATCTTTGGCTTACAATTATAGCCTGTAGTTTTGGACTACAGCTGACTCTCAAATTATGTTAAGTGTACTATTTAATATCACACAAACATTACAAGATTCGAGCCACAGAATCTGTCGTTTTGAGTAGAATGGAAAGCCTCCCCACAGCTACTTTTGGGGTAACAATCTCATTTTAGAGTTCGGGGACACTCTCAGACCACAGAATCTGCAAACACGCCGCTAAGACCAGCACCGCAGCGGCCGTTTAAATCCACCCAGGTTATTGCGTGCGACAGCACCAGGGACCCGCACTGTACTCAGTCGCCGGTCCTCCGTGATCCCTCCCCACGAACCAGGAATCGGAGGACACCGGGAGGACCGGGGCACCGGGGACAGCGGAAAAACCGGGAGTCTGACCTGGACTCCGCCCACTCAAGCGTCCTCCGCGCCGCACCGGTTACCTGGCCGGTGTGCGTGACCTTCTCCCCGGTCGGCGAGATGTGCGCCCCGAAACATCTGGCGCCCCGAGGCAGGGTAAGAGCCACCGCGCCGCCCCGGCCCAGAAGCCGGCAGAAGGTCAACGCTGCCGCCATCTTGTGGGTTGACCCTTGACCCGGCGCGTCCACGCGCCAGCGTTGACGCTTGCGCACAGCCAAGCTGGGCCCGAGCGAGCAAGACTACGCTCCCCCTGGATAGGTGCGCATGCGTGCTGTGTTCGGGTCTGAAGTGTCTTGGCGGGTGCAGCTGCAGGCCAGGTCGCAGCTGCGATAAGGAGGGAAACCTTGAGCACAACCGTAGCTGTTATTCTTACCAGGGGAAAGGCAGAGGTGGGTAAAAAGTGGAGATGCATTGTTTGCACTCAGTGGCAATCGATAATCAGGGGGATACATATGATATGTTTTTATTGGTGAAGGATTCCTGCCTAGAGAGGAAATTGGAAGTGCGTTCCCGTTGCGCGGTGCGCATTTCTTTGTTGCCGGGGGCTGGGGGTGGGGAGCGGTGGTGATGGACCGCCTGTTTGAGGATTCCCGAAGCACAGTGCCAGTGAAGCTACCATTAAAGCACAACCGTTGTCGCCCCTCCCGCCACCGGTCCCAACGTGATCAGCACCGGACAGGTCCACTACCCCAGAGGGCACCTGGGCAGGACCGGGCTGGCGTCCCAGCGCTTCACTTTTGTGCTTCTCCTGCCTCCTCTAAACTGCCTGTGCATAGACCCAGGGGCATGGGCGAAAACAGAAGGGAGGGGGGCAGACTTAGCTCAGGGCAGAGTCGTGCAATCGCCACACCCCAGGAGCTGAGTACACCCACAGCCGTCCCGGCTGTGGAGGAGAGCCCAGCAGGTGACGAGAAACGTGATGCTCTGAAAACCTCTCTGAAAGGAATGGTGCTTACTGTCGGGTGCTCGAGCAGAACCAAAGAGCATCTGGGCAGGTGCACCACGTCTGCGGGTCGCCTTCGCGTGCCCAGAAAGTAGACGGGTGGGTTCGCAGACACGCCCCCTGAAAGGCAGGTTCATCGCTCTTAGTGGTACCTGGGTGTACATGGTGCTCATCATAAGAGTCTTTCAACTTTTATCTCTTTGAAATGTTTCATAATAAAATGTAGGAGGGGAAGAAGGTATTTAATTGCAACCAGTTAGAACCATTGTCCGTTTGCCTTGGACTCGCCAGTTTTCCTAGGGTGTTCACGTAGTACCAGCACATGGTTTTCCTAGATTTTTGTTTTACATTAGTATTGTCGGTTTTTCAAGTCTACTTCGTTGTAACTTTCTCATTCTAGACATATATATTTTTTTAGTTCCCATTTCTGCATTCCTCCCCGCCACCATCACAACCAATTGTGGGTGACAGGTTGCAGGGGGCATCCTGCTGGGTGCTCTATGGACCGGGACTGGAAGGCGGGGAAGGGAGGAACCCGGCTCCCTCCAAGTCTGCTACGCGCGCAAGGGCTCGGTCTTAGCGTCCCACGGGACCGGTGCTGCCACGTGACCCCGGCGCCGGTTTCCTTTCTGGAAGAAACTCTGGGTTGGCGTCTCCGCCCCGTTGCGCAGGCGCGGGCTGGGACGCTGGCGCTGGCTGAGGAACAAGGCAGGCAAGGCAGGGCCAGGGCCCGTTCTTCACAGGTCAGGGGTCCCTGCGGGTCCCGAGCAGGTGGGAACTAGGAAGGCGGCGTGATGCCGGGGTTCGGTCTCCTCTGCAGCCGGCTGCCAGGTCGAGAGGCTGGGGACGGGATCGGCCGGAAGACGTCGGCCCTGCGGCCTCAGTCTCCCCCTGTTGGCTACGGTGGGGGGGGGGGCGGTGCGTGGGGCCGGATCCCATCCCTTAGACGCCCGAGCCTCGCGGCGCGGTGTGCGAACTGCGAGCGACACGCGCCAGTGTTGGGGCCGAGTCCCGCGACGCCAGCCAGTGCGCCGCCTCCGAGAAACCCCGAGCAGTCCGCACCTGACAAGCGACCCCGCCGGAGTTCCTTGCAGTCGGCTGGTGGGGCGCCGGCCCGGGAGCCGGGTGCTTCATGCCCAGGAAACCAGGCCAGCTCTGCCCCATGCTAAACCTGAGCGGGGTCGGAGTTCACGGAGAAGCGGTTACCCCACTTGTATGAGGATGTAGACCCATCCTACACGTGGGCGCCCGCCTCGCTGAAACTGGTGAGGCGTAGACACTGGCCTTGTTTAGGCCCTAGTGGCCCGGCCCGGAGCCCCTGGGTGGGGGGTCAGGCTTCATTGCTGCGGTGTCTTAACAGGGCAGGGCAAGTCACAAGTCACTTATCCCTCCACCTGGCTAAATTATTTCAAAGTGCAGGGCGTGGCCTACGCTTAAGGTCTGATCAGCCTCTCCCAGGCTCCCGGTAGGTAGGTCAAGTGCTCCACCTGGGGCCCCTGTCTCCTGCAGAGCTGTTAGGGTTTTTGCTGCACTGGAGAATTGTAGCACCCCTTAACCCTCAGCTTCTATGCCTACCCGACAGTGAGGTAAACAAAACAAAGTTGTAATAGTAGGAAGCATGGAAGACACTGTAACCACCTTTTTTTTTTTTTTTTTTGCATAGAGTCAGCCACAACATGGCTGTTTTTATAAAGAAAATGGTGGTTTCTGCTGTAAACCCTCTCCTACGTCTGAGTCCTTGCACGACGACATCCCGTGCGCTCTCCACACTCCTGCTGGGTCCCCTGCGCGTTGCAGTCCCAGCAGGGGCGCAGCCCAGCAAAGTGGTGGCCTCACCCCTCTCCTGCTGCCCCTTGCCTTTCCTGCAGCCTGCTCTGGGGTTCAAGACCAAGGGCGTCCTGAAGAAGCGTTGCCGGGACTGTTACCGGGTGAAGAGGCGTGGGCGGTGGTACATCTACTGCAAAACGAACCCAAAGCACAAGCAGAGACAGATGTAGCTCCTTTGGCTGTGAAAATAACATGCAAGATTGTACCATTTCCTAGAGAGATGGTGTTAACTTACCAAAAAAGAATTAAATGTAAATGTTCTGGTTTCTAAGAGTGTTGATCTGCCGGTTTTGTTGACTCCACTTTCCAGGCACCTCACTCTTTATCCAGATCTAGTCTGGCCAGAGCCCCAGCTGGAAAGCTGGCAGGAGGACAGAAGGCAGGGAGCAGGGAAGACGGGCTTACCCGCCTCCCCACCCCCAAATATCAGAATGCAAGTTCTTCAGAAAGAACTAGATTTCTTCTCATGTCCACCTGTGGAGTCGCTCTCGGCCCCGTGTCTGCATTCAGGCATACACTGCTTCTTTCCCAGGGTTCAAATTCCTTTCAACATTCCTGTCTCCAGGATGAGGATGGAAGACCTTGATAGCAGTCCTTCAGTCAAGGACAATTTGACTGTTTACATACAAAGGTATTCAGGATATCAAATAGTTTATCACCCCTGGTCTGAGACACGAGTATGCATGTGTTCATGTATACAGGAGTGGAATGTGTGCATGAATGTGGGCACTTTGTACCCACTGTGTGAGCAGGAGGTCCCTCCTGTGGTGTGAAGACAGGAGAGCTCAGTGGTTACAGCAGCATGGCAGGTGAGTGCTGACTGATTGAGGAGCAACCCAGGGGAAGGCAGGGGGCCACTGGCCCTGGGCTTGGTCTTGGCTCTGCTCTTTCCTTGGTGTTGGGCCTTGGACTAGAAGCTTCTACTGAAGCCTCAAGTTTGCAAAGGGGTCTGATACTACTCACTCCTCCCTGCAGGGTTCTGAGAGCCTGTTTTTCAATAACACTTTTGCCCTTAGAGTCTGCCACAGAGCCTGGCATACTGTAGGCACTCAGCAAGTGAATGTAGACTCGAATGATCGTGCCTCCTTGTAAGCAGGCAGGCAGCCTGTTGTCCGCTTTCCCTATGAATGGTTCATCCTGAAAAGCCAAGCCCATGACTTTCTGAAGACGTGGCTGATGTCCCGTCCAATGGACCAAATATCTCCAGCACTAGAGTGTGGATCGTGGAGTCATACTGAATATGTCTAGGGCTCTAGCTATTTCATGTATGTCTGCACACATGTACACATGTGTGTTCATGTACACCACACACCTTTCAATTATTTTCTCCTTGACAGGTGAGTGTGAGGTGTGCTTGCCTTGTGAGCATCTGGCTCTGCAGGCCACACAGTACTGGTGACATATGTCCACGTGAGTGAATCTGTTGAGAGACTGAGGGGCAGGCAAGTCCTGCTTCTGGTGAAGCAATGAGGCCTGTGTGCACGTGAACCTGTGCTTACTACTAGCATCCTGGAGCTCTAAATCATTGCTTTCTCCTGAGATTACTCATCTGTGATCTAAGGTCAGAGCAGTTGTGCCGACCAAGCCCTGTTAAACTCATCTTCCCCATACCTGACGGACCAGCATTTACAGCCCCACAGTCGTGGCATAACAAAAAAATGTGTTTAGGTCAAAAGGCAGCAAATTACGTTGCATAGGCCAGATCCAGTCTGCCACCCATTTTTGTAAGCCAAGTTTTATTGAAAGACAGCCATCCTATTATTCATTAGCGTATTGTCTGCCTCCACAGCAGCCTGGTGTGAGTAGTTGCAACAATGATCACATAGCCTGAGAAATCTAAAGTATTTACTAGTTGGGTGTAAATTTAAGATAGAAAATTAGGAAGAAGTTAACTGATTTTATTTAATTGTATTTCAAGTGTACTTCTTTACTAGAGACCAAGATGATTCAGGAAAGAAAAAAAGTGGTTTATTATTTTCCTGTGGCTGCTGCAACAAATTATCAGACTTGTGGCTTAAAGCAACAGAATTGTATTCTACTTAATCCAGGATGATCTCGTCTCTCAATTTAGTGACATCTGCAAAGACCCTCCTTCCAAACAAGGTCACATTCTGAGACATAAGTTTAAGGGGTGTGGAGGGAGGTGGGATGCTATTCAGTCCACTAGAAGTGGTATAGAATATTTTTTAAAATAATGGTAATTTAAATTATTGTTAATAAGGTATTCACTTTGTTCGAAATGTAGTGGAAGCCTTCCTCCTGAACCCCAGATCCAGTTTCTCTCCCCAGAAGCAAGCAGGATCCTCGGCCCCCAAAACACCCATTCAGTCGTACCCTGTGGCTCTTCAGGCAAGTCCCTGACTCCATTCATTCCTGTCCCCACTTGCACAGCTGTCCCACACTGGGGATGCACCTGGGAGGTGTCTCACACTAGCAACCATGGAGCGTCCTCTTTCTTTTTCCAGGTCACTCTGCCTTGATTTCTCCAACAAGTTGGTATAAGATATTGTAAGCGTCATTTTTGACTTCTGCATCTATATGATTTTTTTATATTCTTGTTCCTTTTTTTGTTTATAAAGCATTTTGTTCTATTTTGTACTTAGTGACTGAGATTCCCAATTAGAAGCCAGTTATTTTTGTTCTCCAGGTTCCTACTTGTCATTTTTCTGTTTAAAAATCATGGAGAAAATGAGAAATTTACAGAACAAAGAGAGCCGTTTTGCATTGCATGAGAAATTGACTTTGGCTGCATCGATATTCAGAACAAAGCCTTCAGGAAGCTAGCTCTTGTGAGCCTCCGGGGTTCAGCCAAGCAGCTCCCACGTGCAGGGTGCAAACAGATTGCGTCCTCTGGCCCCACCATGAAAGATTCATTGTCTTTTCTTCAGAAAGTGATGCATGTTTTTCCTTACATAGTGATGCCATTATACTAAACAGAACATGAATTACTGTGCAGAAATTTTAGCACTTCATCCTCTGAGTGAGGCTTTCTCGTAAGATTTCTGTCTAAAGGTTTAATTGTTCTTTCCATGTTAATAACATGTAGTCGTGTATTCTAAAATGAACCCATAGTTTTGCACTTACAATTTCTATCAGTTTAATCACTGAATATGTTTTTTGATCTAGGATAAAGGAGTCTTTTCTAGCAAGTCAGCCACATTCTGTAATTTTTCATTTATTTATCCATTTGCCACAATAGTTATTAAGCTTCTGTGTTGTATCATGTCTGTGCTAAACACATGATATGTATATGGATTCATGTATGAAGATAGTCCTCTGGTCACCTGATGACATGCCTCATTTTGTGTCCACTACATGAGATGGGACTGGAAATAGCAGTGCTTTAAATAAAACATGCAGTGGTTTGTCTCACATCAAGAAAGGACATTAGCAGGTACTCTTGGTGTTTCAGTTTCCCAGTATCTGTCTTCTCTGTCACTGGTAATTCTTGGTGCTTGGTTTCCAGTCTCATGGCACAAAATGGTGGCTGGAGCCCCAGCTATTACATTCAGCATTCCAGGCAGTCAGACAGAAAAGAGCCAGAGGACAAATCAAATACCAGATGCCCCTTGTCCCTCTTATCCTTTTCAAGCACCTCTCCCCTGGGATTTCATTTTCTTGGCAGAGGCTGCCCCTAGCTAAGAAGGAAGGAGGAGAAACACTCAGCTGTGTGCAGGGCTGGATAGTGCTCTGCACGTCAGGTGCAAAGAGACAAGAAACTGATAACCAACTTACAGTGGCTCACAGTCCTCACATCTGCATCTGGAACCTTCCATGCCTCCCAAGTGATAAAGGACAGAGGGCCCAGTGGGCAAATGGTCAAAGGCTGTGAGTGTTGGACAGTGAGTGCACAGTCCCCAGTGCCGGCTGAGCAGGACTGTCCACTGGTGGCCCGCTCAGGTGAGCGCAGGCACGTGGTGGCCTCGCTGTTCTTGCATCCGCCCACCTCGGGGTTGCTGCTTGGTTGTGCCTCATTTCCATACACTTTCATGCCTTCTCCAAGAATTTTTAGTAATTTGGTGTGATGTTCTAATACTTTTTATTGGAAGAGTTTCATGTGGTTTTTCAGTCTCAGTATTTCAAAATTTGATATGGCTTCATGTAAATACTATCTTAAGATACAAATTATGCTGTTTGCCTCAGTATTTAGTATAGTTATGGGCCAAGTTCAGGGCTATTACTCTGGCTCATCTAAAGTAGGCTTTTTTGTTGTTTTCTAACATGTTTGAGCTCTGGCTCAGCTCTGCTGATAAATTAGCTCATTGTCACTGCCAGATGCTGACAGCACTACAGCTGTCTGGAGGCATTGTTATAGAGGAGGGTAGGAAGGGTGTCTGGGTATCATTTAATTTCTCACAGGTCTCAGCCCCAGGAAGTATCTGGACTTTTTTTTCTTTTTTAATGATGCGTCTGAAGTTCTAGACTTACACAGCTCCATCGCATGAGGACCAGGGTCTCTGGAGGAAACCTGAATCAATTAACCTCTCTCTCCCTTTCTCCCTCTCTCCCCCCCTTTCCTCCATCCTCTGCCCCTGAAATGCCTGAACTTGGTATCAGGGGTTCTTCTCTACCTGCATATGTAAGTTATTTCCCGGCTGTGGGTCATCTGGCTTCCTCTATTCTCTGAACAGTCATTTGCTCAGACTGCGGAGGGCTGAGCTCACCTGTAAGCTGGGGGTAGTAATAGCTGTGGAGGGATTGGGAGGATTCAAGGAGATGCCACACCCTCAGGCCTTCATTCACCCGGAGTGGGGCTGGAGCCCACTGGGCTGCATTAGTGGCAGTGGAGAGCCACTTAGAAGGGTGTGTGGGAGGTTTCTCCAAGAAGAAAGGTCACAGAGGCTAGGAGACGGCCTTTGGAACCCAAAGGGAGAAAACCGCTTGATGAGACAGGCCGGGGGAGTGTGCTGGGAGTGTGGTGGAGGAGGGCGGCAGTGGGTGGTGCTCATAGCACAGGCTCCAGGACTGGCGGCTATCACACAGGGCAAAAACTCACTCTGCAGATTCGCCGGAAGTGTCCCTGCAGGCACGTAAAGGGACCGTGGCCAGTGACAAGGCTTTGAACTGACTTTAGGTCTTAGAGGAGCCTGTTCCTGGGAGGCAGACTTCCACATGGAGGCCACTCTGTATATGCGGGTTTCCTGGTGACTTCCTTCCAAGGCCTCCCAGGAAAGCTGAAGCTGCTTTTGGGTTCAGAGGGGAAAAGATCAGCTTAGGCCCTCAACAGCCTACTGTGACCCAAGACAGAGCCTGCCACCTAGACGTACCTGAGGTCAAGTTGGGCAGCAGCCAAGGTTCCCTTTCCTGGCAGGCCTACCTGGCTTTTCTTTAGTACCAGCATTGAACAGATTCATCTGACCCCTAAATCCTGAGTGGACAGAGCTGAGGCTCCACCTGAAACCCTGGCCCCATGTTGTAAGAAGCATGGGCAGAGGCGAGACCTGCAGGCAGGTCCAGGAATTCCCTGTGGAGACGGAGCAGGGCCACTCTGTCATAGGAAGGAGAGAGTGGCCAGGGCCCTCCAGGTTCTGCCCACTACCCACCATGATGAGGGCGTTAACTGAGAGCTCCAAGCTGGAGTTACCCACTCCGCCACGGCCACAGAAACTTCCCGGAGCCTTCCATGGAATGTCTCATTTTAAGTGCTGTCGTAGCCCCAGCAGACCTGTCAAGATGCATTAGCTGGAAACAGACCCCCTGGGAGGAGAGTGGAAGACCGCCGCAGAGAAAGTGGATGTCCGCCAATTCCATGTGGGAAGACAGCTGCCAGCGTGCCGGTTCTGATTTACAGGGCTCCATCCTACGCCATTGTCTTTCTGACTCAGTTACTAGTAAACAATGCCCAGTTGCTTCAAACCTCTGGCCTTGTTGTGCATTTCTTTTTCCACTCTGGGATTACTCCGCAAAGTCCAGGGTACACCTCAGCTGTGGCCCCCCGAGACCCACTGGGGTTTGGAGAACCAGAGACACCAACAGCTGGGCCCAGGAGCAAGGTGTGCAGCGTGCGGGCTTCGCCTGATTTTCATGGGGAAGAATGGTGGCCATTCTAGCCTGAGGAACATGTGTACTGAGGAAAGTTTTCTGGAAATAGATGACAACATTGACACCAGCCCAAGTTCCCAGCCTCCAGATTTCAAACCTGTCACTTTCCAAAATCACATGAGCCAACTGCTTAAAATATATCTTGTTGGTTTTGCCTCCCTGGAGAAGCCTGTCATAGTCTGTCCTGGCTGCTGTCACAAATACCAGAGATTAGTGGCTTATCAACAACAGGTATTTACTGCTCACAGCCCTGAAGGCTGGATGTCCAAGATCAGGGTCCAGCGCTACAGGTTCTGGTCGGAGCATCTTCCTTGCATTCAAACAACAACACACCTGCAGGTTTCTCTTGGAGCCCTTGTCCTGGTATCTTTCAGTGGCCATGTAAAAAGTTCGGTGACCCTGAGGCCACCACAAGGAAAAGGCATTTCGAGGGAGAAAGTCCCAGAGAGCCCAGGTGTGGGTTTTCCTGTCAGATGGCAGGTGTGAGATGAAAGGGCCTGTGAGGTAACCTGGCCTCAGCCACCCTCTGATGGCCACTGTGTGGAAAGACCCCCACAAGAACCACCCTGCTGAGCCCAGCCAACCCCAGATGCATGAAACGAGAGAGTTAAGAGCTTGGATAGATTCATGGCATGCACCATGCTATGGGACTGAATGTGTGTGTCCTCCAAATTCCCATGTTGAAGCCATAACCCTCAGTGTGATGGCATTTGGAGGTGGGGCCTTTGGGAAGTGACTCAGTTTCCTTGAGGTGATGAAAGTGGGCCCTGTCTGGTGTGATCAGGGCCCCGATCTAGAGAGACACCCGAGCATGTCTCCTCTCTCCTCTGTGAGGACACAGCCAGAAGGTGGCCCTCTGCCAGCCCAGAAGAGGCCTCCCTAGAAACCAAATCTACTGCACTTTGATCTGGAGGACATCCAGCCTCCAGATCTGTGAAAAATAAGTGTGTACTGTTTAAGCCCTCTCCATGGTGTTTTGATATAGCTGTATGTGCTAAGCAGCACAGACAGGCCATGCTGAGCTGTCAGTAAATTCAGAATGCACTTGGGGTATAGTCAATGGGTACCAGCCTCATCAGATTCTGCTTCAAGCCTCATGCCACTTCTGTACACAGGCCAGGCCTGGGTGGTCAGCGAATGAGTCCGTCTCCACTCACTTGATGTTGAGGAAGCACCCACGCCCTACCCTCCCTGTGGGGCCTCACACCTGGGCCACCAGACCCACCTACCGAGTGGTTTTCTCCCCCCTGTTCACCCCATCCACCCAGCCTCACCCTCCTCACCAGGGCCCCAGCGAAAGCCACCCAGGCCTTGTCCTCAGAATCAGGTTTCAGAGAAGACCCCCTTTGAAGTTGGTTTTGAAATTCACATGGGTTTTAGAGTAAAAATCCTCCTCTTTCTCTTTAAAATACAGCAAGACGAGTTTGGAGATACTCATCCAGAGCAGCGAGAGTGGGCTGTTTACTCAACCAGATGGCAGTGAGGAGCTCAGCCTTACCGAAAATACCCTGATGGGGCCTGTGTTTCTGTCCCCTCGAAGGTTTTCCTGTCCAGAGTTTGCTGTGTGCGTGTGCAGGTGAGGTTTAGCCAGACTCCCCAGTTGCACTCTTTTCTAATAAACCAGCATAAAGTAGGATTTATTTACATAATGCAATGATCCGTGAAGGTTACCATAACACGAAGGGACCGTATTAACCGCTTGGGTGGAATTCATTAGAAATTAACTACCACTTAAATTAATTTTCCCACAGTCACAAGGCTGTAATGGTGGGAGAGGGGACCGTCCATCAGCGGGTGCTGACAGGGGACCTGTCACCGCTGTTATTTATAGGTGAACACATTAACCCATAGAGCAGGCACACCTGGCCGAACTCGGAGCCCCAGACTCACAAAAGCCATGTTAATGAGTCACCTGGCCTCGTGAACTCTCCTTTCTCATGCTGGATGAGGGTGGCACAAAGAGACTGGTCGTCTCAGCCTACAAACAGGACGACTCTTTAAAAACTCCATCATAAAGCATATGTTCTTATACGCAGAGAAGCTGGGAGCCCCTGCGGCCTCTCTAGGAACCTTTTGGAGCCCCAGGTGCAGATTAACTGCACATATGGTCCCTTGGGGACTTCAGGGACAGGGTCACCCCAAGAGGAGGACCAACCCTCAATAAAGAGATCAAGCTGGTGGAGACCTACTGGGTCTCCTTCAGGAGAGTAAAGATTATCTGTGTGCTGTGTGTACACATGTGGTGTGCGCATGTGTGTACATGTGTGTCTGTATGATGTCTGCATGCCCTGTGTGCTATATGCATTCCTGTGTGTGTGGCAAGTTTGTGCAAACATGTGGCATATGTTTGTGGTATGTGTGTGCATATAATGTTTGCATGGCCAGTGTGCTATGTGTACGTGTGTGTGGTATGTCTGTGTATACACATGTGGGTATGCACTGTGTGGTACATGTGTGATATGTCTGCATACATTCCATGTGTGAGTGGTACCTGGCCTGCATGTGTGGTGTGTGTGTGTGTGTATGTACATGTGTGTGAGAGAAAGGGAGAGACACCAGCCCTCTGGGAACCAGTGTGCATGAGGAACATTGTAGTTTCTTGGCAGGGGTCGGGTAGGGGCTGGTTGAAAAGTCCACTTCCTGGGAAAGAAGAAGTGGGAGGGCAGAGATCTAGAATGTTCTTGTGGGAAAGCCCTGGGCCACATTTCCAGCTCATGCTGAGCAGGCAGTGGATGTAGTTTAGATTCCAGCTCCTGACTCCCTCCCAGCCATGGCCGCCTCACCCGTAGCCTCAGCAGAAAATTCAAGAGGCCTTGGAAGCCTACACTCCAGCCCCACTGGCAGAGGGTAAGGAGGGGTAGGGTGCCTGGCCTGGGGCCCTCGCAGCCTCTGATGCCCACTGCAGAGTTGGTGCATGCAGTGGATGCTCCCCCATGCCAGGGTCCAGGGTGCAGTGTGAGCTGGGCCTCAGTGCCTGAAAGGATAGGCTCCAGGCCGCCTTCCTCTCTAGATTGGGTAGAGGTGAGTGGGGAAGAGGGGCTTGAGGCCAGTGAGGACTAGGGTCGGGGGGCTTCTTGCTGGACTCCTGTCAGGAAGGCCCCCAGAGTGCCCCCAACAATGAGTATGGAGAGTACTCTGACTTTGGAGATTTTGGTGTTTGGCCCCAAGGCCAGCAAACAGAGATGCCTTTCTAGGGAAAAGAGGAAACCTTCAAGTATAAATCTCAATCAAAGCTGCCTCACACCAAGGCAACAGTTCCACACCGTGGCCCCCCTTGGGCACCCAGCTTCCGAAAAGTGCAGAGGAGGGCGTGCCTGCAAGCCAGAACTGCCGAAGTGAAAACGCTAGAGGCAGAGTCGGAGAGGAGGTAACAGCACTAGAGAGGTTCAGCCTTTGAGGGGAGCTGGCAAGCATGACACAGGAGCCAGGAGGGGGCCCCCCAGCTGCCCCCAGGATCAACAGCTCTGTGTCTTCTGGAACTCAAGCCCTGTCACCCTGAACTTGATACATTTGCTCTCCATGCTCACATTGTGGAGGAGGCTTGTAGTTTTCCCCAGATTTGCAGGAAGGGCTGTCACCCAGTGTCAGGTCCCCCAGCCCTAATGGGGTGGCTGCTTTGATGACCCTGTCAGCTTTTGCACAAAATGGGCTGGGGTGGGTCTTTCAGGGAGGTGGACCACTGATAACTTCCCTCCTGTCTTTCTAAGGAGCTTCCCTCCAACACTCCCACATCTCTGGGAGACCTGTGATGACACCTCCTGGTCAGGAAGCACTGAAACAAGCTTCTGGCCGACAGTGGATTTGCACGTGTGCAGGTGAGTGACGGTCACCTGCCATCTCAGGCACGGCCATGGCTCACTGCCCCAGCCTTGGCCTCCCCAGCGCCCAGCATCCAGCACACTTTCCCAGCAGCACCTGGCTCCAGGCAGTTGTGATCAGCCTGCACTGCAAGTTCCCCCTCATGCAAACCAGCTTCCCCTCCTCCAGTTCTCAACTGGAAACAGCACATAGCCTGAGGCCACCAGCAGGAGTAATGCTGGTGTCACATGTTAGAAAACATATTTGTTTTGTGTCCTCCAAGGATAAATGACAGACATGTGAAAATGGTCCCTGCTTTCCTTTCAGGGACACTGAGTTTACAATTAACTTCTGTCAGAGGCAACGGCGTCTCCCGTGTCCCCTCAGTGTGACTGCCCTGCCTCCATTTTACAGGGAAAACGCCGCACAGTGTTTGACACATGTGATTACAAGTTTACAGAACCCACTCATGTTCCTGCTGGTACTGCCGTTTCTCTTTAGGAAAAGCCACTCATTAGAACCAAACAAGTGGAGGTGGGGAATTGGTTACCCCAGTGCAGTCAGCCTCGTTTGCATCTGTGTCCAGGAAAACTGGCGCCCCTGCAGCTCAGAGAACCCTCCTAGACCCCAGAGGCTGGTCTCTCAGAATGGGGGACAAGAGTTGGTCCATGCTCCCTACTGGGAAAATGCACACAGAATTCAGTGCATACACACCAACACACACATATCCATGCATATGCACATTTGCGCACACCCACACATGCATGTCATATACACACCCATGCACATATCATACACACATCCATGCATGCACACGTGCACATGTACCTTCACATGCCTGTGTGCATGTATGCAGGCAGGCACACATCATGTACACCTGCATGCATACGCGTGCGTGTGTGCACAACTATGTATGTATACACACGTGCACCTTGCCCTCTCAGGGACAAAGGGCTCCCTTGGGGCAGACAGCAGTGGACAGATGGTCTTCAGTGCAGTGGAAGCTGTCTTCCTGCCTCCCGCTTGGCAAGGCCTGTGTTCACGTTGAGCTCCATGTCCATCACTTCTAGGGGAGACCTGGAAGAGATGGTTCTGTGTGCTCAGAGGCTCTGGGGGAAGGTCCTTGTACATGCCATTGCCCACCTTGTCCCACAAGCATGTGTCCAGAGTGAAGGCAGGAGAGAGATGGAACGGAACAGGGAGGTGAATGAGGAGTGACAATTGTCTGTATGCCACAGCAGTTGACAATAAATCCCAGGAAAAGAAGGTCTCCCTCAGGGTCTCAGCAGTGGGGACCCATGAGCTGAAGCCCCCCCCCAGCTAGGCCTGTGTGGGTGGGCCACAGGGGAAAACCAGCAGCACCGTGGGAGTGGCAGCTCCTGGAAGGGGAGCAACTACTAGATTCTGGACACCTGATGTGCTAAACACAGGGCAAGCCAGTGTGGTCCAAGCCCAGAACAAATGTGAGGACTTAATTCTAGAAAGACCCCGTGAGGATTTTGTGAGACATAGAAGAAAGGAAGTATCAGTATGTATTGTGACCTGAAACAACGAGGAGATGAAGAGTGACACATGAGAGTGTTGTAGACGGCTCCGCCTGGTTCTAGGAATTGTATCTCTACCTCTTGTGGCTAGGGGCAAGGGACGACCTCTGGAGTGCCAGCCACAGGAGACAAAGCTTGTCTCTGGTAGCGAACACTGCCTCAGTTTCCTCTCCCTGCCCCCAAAGCTTGGTCAGAAGTCAGTGACGGGTAAGACCCCTCACAGTGGGAGGAAACCTAAGCCAGACTCAATCACATGGGAGGCCTTCATGGAAGGACTTGGGGGTGGGGGTGGGGGGGTGGCTGCAACAAAGAGTCCCCGTCCCCATGTTCTCTGGGAGAAGTGCTTCCTGGCTCTAATCCCCTTAAGCCTGAATACCTGATGGGGAGAGGTGCAGCTCCTTGCCTTGCTAGAGCGTATCCTGGGGAAAAATCTGGCATCACAAACACTTCCTGATAAACCTGTGAAATCTGCTCTGCTAAGAGTGCTTTCATTCATATGTTAAGGATTCAAGCAGGAAACCCTAAAACTCTGTTCCTGACAGACTTGGACTCCTAGTAAGCCCTCAGATATCTTTGAAATGTTATCTACTGTTTGATCCTTGCCTCCCTGTATTGCTGTGTATTAGAACCCAATAAAAGCCCTGGATGAGGGGGCTCAAGGCCTTTTTCCCCTGAGAACTGGCCACTGCCCACAGCCTTTACCCTCTGGGAAAATGGCCACTTCTCCTCCCTAAGCAGATCACTTCATGTCTCAGTCATATTTACTCTCCATCCGTGGCACTCGGGGGGACTTGTGAGGAAAGTCACCCCAACATGACAGCACTAACTTGCAGGCCACCTGCCCCCAAGATCCGATCTGGGGAGGGGTCCCTGACCAGCACCGTACCAGCACTGATTCAAGATTTAGGTCCAACTTCTTACTAACGCCGTGGCCATCTGATTCTCTCTCACCCTGCATCCTGTCACCCCTCAACCCTCTCTCACCCAAGTTCATGTTAAGGACATCACTCTTCTGGAAAAGAGCTCTCTAAGAGTTCAGGAGAGAGTCTTTAAACTACTCCTTCAGAAGCATTTGCAACTTGAGATAATTTTAGGTCATATTTTTACTGTTTGAACTTCATTGCATTATTTAATGTTTTGTATCATATACACAATTCATAGTCATTTCAGAAACCTCACAGATGGTTAAAAAGAGAGTAAAATTATACATAATCTCACCCTTCTGAGGAAACTGATGTGGACATGCTGGAAGTGGGGGCGATCTTCACACAGTGACATACTAGAGTTTTAGGCAGACCGGTCAGACCGCTGTGATGAGGGCACACGGTCACTCGGGCCCTTCCGTCAGCCCCTCTCAGTCCTTACACCGGGCACCGAGTGCCCGATTTCACCAACAGAGCTCAGCTGGACCCGTCCAAGGATCTCATGAACAAATTATTCAGTGCGAATGGGTTGGGATTCAGCTTCTTTCATTCTACATGTTTGCTCCTTTATTTCGAACCCCTCGGAATTCCTTTTTCTTATTCCTCTCTTCTTGCACTGGCTGGGGGCTCTCGTACAGTCGTGAGTGGAAAGCATAGGAGCCCTTTAGCAGGTTGAAAATTCTACTGCTTTTTCTCATTTGTTAGTTTTTTTAAGTTATAGATTGGTGTTGTAGTTTGTCAAATGGTTTACTTGCATTTTTTTAAATTCACCGTATAATTGTTATTTCTTAATCTTTTAATGTGGTGAATTACGTTGATTGATATTTTTTGGTTAGCTAATTTTCCATTCTTAGGATACACCCAACTTGATCAAGGTGTATTATTCTCGGTACATATTGCTGAATTTGATGTACTCATATTTATTAACTATTTTGCATCTATATTCATGAAGAATATTATTCTATACATTTTTTTCTTAAAATATCATTGGTTTTGAAATTCTGGTTATAGTGGCCTCATAAAATACTTTGAGAAATGATATCTCCTCCTCTCATTTCTGAAAGAGTTTGTGCGAGATTAATGTTAATATTATTTCTCTTTCACATGCTTAATAGAATTCACCAGTGAAGTAATTTGGACCTGGAATTTTCTTTTGTAAGGAAATACTTAATTATTTTCTCTGTAAAATGTTGTTTGTTAATTCAATGTCTATAACAAATAGAGGGCCATGTAAATTTTTCTATTTTTTCTTGAGTCTGTTTATTTGTATCTTTCAAGTGGTGCTTCCGTTTTATCTAAGTTGTCAAATGTGTTAGTAGAAAGCTGTTCATAACATCTGCCATTGTCATTTCCCTCACAACGTCTGCGTCTGCTATGATGTCCCCTGTCCCCTTCTTCTGTTCCTGCTCTTGGTGATTTATGTCTCCCCCGCCCTTCATCTGTCTTGTTAAAGGCTTATAAATTTTATTAATCTTTACAAAGAACAAAGTCTGGGTTTGTCAATTTTTTGTAGACTTTTCTCTGTTGTTTGCTTCATATTTCATTCACGTCCCCCCCTATTTTTATAATTTTCCCCACTTACTTTGCCCTTAATAGTCTTCTTTCACAGGCTTCTCAGGGAGGAAGCAAAGGTAACTGACGTCACACTTCATGTCTGACTTTGGCGTGACACGTGCAGATTCCCCTGTCAGAGCTGCCTTATCGCATCACAACAATTTTGTGTTCGACTCGATTTTTAGTCTTCCAAGTCCCTTTTCCTGGGAGCATGATGACATCTCTCAGTTATGTCTGGAGAGTTGGACTTCCTTACACTTCTTAAAATACAGATTTCAATATGAGCTCCGTCCGATCACATTAGTTCGCCCTTCGGATACGCCGTTATACATATGCTGTGTCCTCCATGACATACCCATTGTTTTCTCACTTTTTGTCTCATTTGTTTCGGTTTTCACTTGGGCGAAGAGGGAGGTCTACTTACTCTGTCCTCTGAGTCTCTCGCTCAGCTCCGGTGGCCTGCGCTTTCCCTTGCCCACTCTCTCGCCTGCTTCGCTTCTTGAGGACCCACCAGACTGGTTTCTGCAGTAGAGGCCCCCTTTTACGTCCCCATCTGCTCTGCTCAAGGGCTCCCCTTTCTCCACATCCTCGGCAGGGTTCTTGTTGCTTTGAGCTGGCTGTGCCAGGCAGGGAGGCAGGGAGGCAGGGATAGAAGACTGAGGCCTCAGGGAGGCCCCCCCATTGGGTTCAGCCCCCACGGATGTGAGGTCTCTGCTTCCCCCTCTGCATCAGCTGCTGGCTCAGCTGTGAGAGCTAGAACAGAATCATGCCCTTGTTGGAATAAATTGCCCCAGTGAAGTCCTCAGCCATGCGTGGTCATGGAGCCCTATGGTGGCAATGGACTTGAGCTTCATGCCCTACTTGTGACATGGATTTACAGAGGAACTCCAGGAGGTGATTGTTTGCCTGCATGTGATACCTGCTCAGAACCAGCTTGTTACGATCATGGCAGTGGGGTCCCATGGTTCCCTCTCCCTGCAGGATACCTCAGGATTCTCGGAGGGAGTCAGGCGTCCTTGCTGAGAGGTGATCACCAGAGCCTGGGTGCAGCAAAGGGACAGCAGAGCCACCCTCACCCCACACATCAGGACCCAGGCAGCTGCCGCTTTTCACCATGCCCTGAGCTGGCCTTGGCCCACCCACTCAGCACCTTTGCCTCGTTTCCTTGCCAGTTCCACTCCAGCAGACTTTCCCATCCTGGCAGGTGAGCCGTCAAGGACTACAGGTCTCCTTTCACCTGGACCCTGTGCTGCTGCTGGGATGGTGGGGTGGTGCAAGCTTTGGGTCCTGTCCTCTCTAGACACACAGGGCTTTCTGGGACCTTCAGCTTCCCAGCCAGCCCTCCATGTGTCTGAGCTGATCCTGGACAAGCAACTGCAGGAGCAGGATTTATCCTGACTCCCTAAGCCCGCACGTGGGCACAGATCCTTCTCCATCTCTACGGGTTCCCCCACTCCTGGGCTCCTGTCACTTCATCTGGCTTCCTACCTGTATCCTCATCCAGGACTGATGGGTCTCCCTTCAGAAGTACCCACAGCAGGGTCCTACTTCTCCCTGGCTGGGCCAAGGGAACCCATACTGCCACCAGTCTCAGAGTCTGTCGCCACCCTCCCCCGCTAGTCAGGGAGCAGCCCCTCTGCCACCACCTGTGACACAGGAGATGCCCGGACACAAGCAGAAACTGCAACGTGTCTCACAGGTCCTTAGGAATCTTCCTTGGTCCTTCTTGTTTCTCCTGCCACCTCACCCGAGGCCCTCACAAGAATGCCAGTCCTCCCTGCCCCGATGGCCTAAGAACCGCTGGGTTCTGGGTGGTGCACAACGGACCCTTTTAAATTTGCACAACACCAAGTGTAGGAACAGCTTCTGACACATCTGTAGGCGGAGATTATCCACTTGGCTCTCAAGCTGTTAGTCCAGCTGTGGCTTCTGTTTTTACAGGGTTTCATTTCCATTGGTTTTGCTCCTTTTTAATAAAGATTTTTTCATCTCTTTCTCTCACTCCCAACCAAAATAACACTGTAGCCAAACTGAGATACCTATTTTCTGCTTCAGAAGAAAAATAAATAAATCTGCACTTTTAAGCCATGTGATTTCTCAGAATCTTAATTAACAAATTCTGTATGTATAACATGGAGCCTATTCTGAAAAAAGACCACATTTTCTATTTCTTTTGAGCTCTAAGATTTTCTGTTTATCGGCAATACTACGCTAAATTAACCCTGCATATTCTATTTACAAGTACATTATATTTCATTTATATGAGTAAATTATTTATGTGTCTAGAAACATAACAGATTTAACTAGGAATTAGTCTCCAGTCCAGTCAGGAATTGTTCTGTTGTGTGTTTTTTTTTTAATTGCTCTCTTGCTTCTTCTAACCCGGCTGTGTAAGGCAGAAAGGGCTGACTGTGAGAACAAAGCCGTCTTAGAACCGTGTCAACCTCGTTCCTCGCGAGACCATGTGGAATGGAACAGAAATTGCATTTCAGGGATTAATAAATAGTGAGAAAGCTAGTTTTTCCCCCCAGTTATCTGAGCACTTTGAAAACAATCCAACACGAAACAGCTTGGGGGAAAACTGCCAAGTCAGCACGTTGGGCTCCGAGAGTCACCTTAGATTTCTCGGGGCCACCCATTGTGCGGGGCCATCTCCAGATGCCTGTCATAAGAGAGGGTGGGGACAGTTTGGACTCTTTGGTCCTCTGTGATTCCCCTGGGTTTTAGAGCACGGCCAAGAACTCAGAAGGTCCCTCTGGCCCCTTCTCCCTTTCCCCCTCCGTCTCGGAAGCAGCACAGGTGGCACGTCAGCTTGCCCCGCCTGCCGTTCAGCCAGGAGTGGCCACAGGGCACAGCCCACTGGGTGAGAACAGAAGTGTGGTCACAGCTGTTTGAGCCAGACATCTCCAGAGGCCAGGGCCAATAGTGCACATATTGATTCTTATACAGAGAGTCAGAGAGTTTAAGGAAATGTCTTATGCAGATACTGGGCCGATTTTAAATCTGTACAGCAGGCTGGCAGGCTGGAAATTCAAGGGTGAGGTGACCTTGCACTCTTGAGTCCTAAGTCCGCAGGGCAGGTTAGCAGGACAGGAACGCCAGTGGGGCTTCTGTGTTACAGTCTTGAGGAAAAATCTGTCTTTGCTCTTAAGATCTTCAATTGATTGGATGAGACCCACCCCCCACATCATGGACAGTATGTCTACTGGTTTCAGTGTTAATCACATCTAAAAAATACCTTTACAGCAACATATAGACCGATGTTTCACATAACAACAGGGCACCATGAGCCAACCAAGTTGACTCAGAAAATTAATCATCACAAGCTCCGATATCACAGAGATGTAGCCCACATCTGGAGCCCCAGCAGCCACTTTGCAACCATGAAGAACCAAAGATGAGGGAAAGGCTGAGAGACAGAGAGCAGTAGCCTTTAAGTCACTGAGCACGTGAACCAACATCTGCAGTGACCTGCCTCCAGCCTGCAGGTAGAAAGGAAGCAGACTGCACCGTGTCCAGTTGCTCTGCTTGATTAATCACTGGAAGCCTTTCAACTACTAAAGCGAGCAAAAGATAATGAAAGCACTGACCTTCCTAATGATGTTGAGATGATGGAAGGATCAGGCTGTGGCAAGGGCTCTGGGACGAGGTTTGGTGCTGACAGCTGGTCCTCCTTGTCCAGGCGCTGGCCTGATGAGCTATCCAGAAGCTGGCAGAACCCACTGAGCTATCCCAGGGACTGTTCAAAGCCAGAGAGCACCTTTCTACCTCGCTTGGACACATTTGGCACCTGTATCAGGGAACTGAGGGGACCACACTGTGCAAAGAATCATAAACCTCATGTATGACACCTGAACTTACAGCCCTGGTGTTGCCAGGGGACTGTCTCCTCTAATATTGGTGATGACTCAGATGACACTGTCCCACAGAAGGCAACCCAGGCATCGTACAGACTTCCAGCAGCAAGTATATTCTTCCCCTTTTCTTTGCACGTGAACTTCCTCTGATTGACTAGGTTCACGAGGTAGGTCTAATATGGTTGTTCGGTCAACGGGCAGCCTCACTGTAGCAGCAGAGGGTCTGTGCTCACAGGACTCACACTGGTGGTCAGGCAAACCCCGACTCCAGGAAGTGGTCCTGCAGCCAGCCTGTCCTTAGCCCAGTGGCCCCGGCACAGCGTGGTGGTGGCAGTGGTCTCAGTGGAAGTGGGGAGCAAACTCTCAGCCCACGTCTGAGAGAAGAAAGGACAGGCCCTGCTCCCCCAGGCCTCTGGCTGTCCGTGGGAACACGGAGCCCTCCTGCTGTCCCCGAGTCTGCACACGGGGACTCGCTTCTCCTGCAGGGAAGCCAGAGGAGGAAGACACACCTGTTTATTCGTTTCCTTCTGTTCAGAATCGGCTACACTGTACATGTGCTCACTGCCTGGAAATGTTTGATTTTTTTAGCTCCTCGGTTTCATTTCAAACCAACCCATGCTCCTGCTGCAGCAAAGCAGGGGCCGTTGTTTGTTCCTGAAGGAACGACGTTCCCAGCTGTGACATAAACACAAATAATTGGCTCCACAACAGTCTTAATAAAAAAAGACATGTTGATTTTGTTGTAATGGCAAATTTATAGCATATTTTCCTGCTAAGTGAGAATGAACACGTCCAGGCTTGAGCATTCGTCTGTAAACCAAGACTGCCCTCTATGGACACACGGGCCTTCCCGAGGACCTGGCCCGCCCTCCAGCGGCTCGGGCACCTGCGGGACCAGGGCCACTTCGCAGACTCACCAGCCCTCCACTCCTCAGTGGAGGCGATGCTCCTTCCTGTCTCCCGCCTCCCAGCGGCTCTGGGTGGCATGAGTCCTCCATCCATTTCCATCAGAGCTGGGCTCCAAAACTACCTCTCAGGATTCCATGGAAATTCCCAGGGCAAAGGGATGACAGATTCTTAAAAAGCAGCAGAACTTGGAAATGCCAACTGCTGCAGAGAGAAAGAGGTACTCATGAACTGTCCCTAAGTGCCGAGAAAAGCTGGCCTCCTCCACCTCGGTCAGATGGAGACCTCTTCAGTCAAGGGCACCCTACGCGAAGGCAGGAGGCAGCTGGGCCACAGCAGCAGCTTTTCAGAGTTGCTGAGGGGCTGCCATTTAATGAGGTACGAGGCCAGGCCAAGATGCACAGGTGGATGGTGCCCTACCCTTACACAATGAAATGGGCCAGAAAAGCAGCTCTTCCTGCACATCTGCAAACTCACCAGGAACCGTGGGCAGGAAGTGGCTACCACAGCACAGGTCTGAGACACCAGTGACGGGCTGCTGCCTTTCAAAATACAGGGTGGGAGTTTGCTGCACAGAGGTCAAGCCCAGCTCCCTGCCTCCCCCAGGGTGCTCAGCACGCTCTTCACGTGCCCGACAGAAGGCTCTCCAGGAAGACAGAATTAGAGCTGCAACTAGTACTGCGATTCTGACTCTCAAGCTCACACCTGAGTCACAAATAAATGCTCGGTGGTCACAAACATGCCCCATCGTTATAGACATGACCCTGTTGGGTCAGGGGCAGGAGCCTTAACCTGCCAGCTCACCTCTCTGTCTCTCGGACCACCTAATTCCTGAGCAAGGCCTATTTCCCAAATAGTCTCAGCTGGTCAGTGGAAGTCTGCAGCAACCCTACCCACCAATGCCGTGTGCGGCCAGCTAACTGTGGACTCGTGGTCAGCCTCGCCCACCACCAGCCTCATGGAGAGGGGCAGCTTGGTGATCTGATGAGGAAACAGGGAATTGGACTCAGATTTCCTCGATAGAGAAAGGTCCTGGTGAACACTTTCCTAATCAATAACTGTGCAAGAAAGGAACACTTGAGGCCTGCTGTTTGTTTCTCTTCGTAACCCTTCAAGGGACAAGACTTTAAATCGGAGCAGGGCTGGCTCAGTGAGTTCCCAGCTGCCAGAGCGACCTCCCAGCCATGGGGACACCCCTTCCCCCACTCTGGGGCTTCCTGCAGATCTGACCCCCACACAAGACAGTACAGGAGACATGCCCCAGTGGGCCCCGGGGGTGCGTGGCCCACATCTCCGCAGTGACTAGCCGCCAGCGCCAACACTCGGGGCTTGCCCCCAGCTGACTCCCGCTGTCCCCAAGCTCTTAAAGCAGGAGTTCTCCTTTCTGAAGGGGTGATATCATACAACAGGAGCCGACACCAGTCCCCCGTGTCGGCTTAAACGGGCAATGGAAAGGAGGGCCCACAATGGGAGAGGAGGAAATGCCCATTAATCTCGGTGGCAGAGGAGTCTAGAAATCAAAGTCCCTCTTGTTGAAAGCGAAAGCCAGGTTGTTATCTTAGTGCAGGTTCTCAGTGGCCAGTTTCACATGCCGTTAATGCTGTAACAGTAATAAACACTTTGCTTGGTGGCCACACTGGGTGGGGAGCGACTGGGAAACACTGTCCTATTGGAACATACCTCAGGAGAGGATGTGAGCCCAACACACAGCCTCGTCACCCAGAGGCACAGGCTTAGGAGCGCAGGCCCTAGGTAGGCTCTGTGCCCCCAGGGGAGAAGCTTCTGGCACAACTCTCCTTGATGGGGGGTCCGAATTGGCTGGGCCTCTCCTGTCTCTGCCCCCACTTAACAGTCCAGGAGTGTGACCCACACAGCCCCAAAGCGTGCCCAGCTGCGCTCTGTGCCAGGGGAGCAGACCTTGTTGTCACCCACAAACTGACTCCACAGGTGTCCCAGGTAATACCAATCTGTCCCCATGACACACCTGGAGCAGCATGGCCTTGGACTGCCTGCCTGGGGGTCCTAGTGGGCGGTCCTGGTGAGCTACCGCCCAGATGAGGTCTCTGGCACTGGGCCACTGCATTTACACTTGGGACGATGAGGGGCACCCTAGGCCATTATGAACATTTCTGCACCTCAAGACTCTCTGGACATGGCCTTTGAGTGGCAGAGGGCTTAAGGCTTCCCCAGAGTGTCTGTGACTCGCAGAGCCCGGGACAGGGCTCCCGCTGCCCTGGAGAGCCAAGTCAAACCACCCAAGTGGTAACATGATGAGCCCCCTACCCTACCCTGGGTCTGGGCTAAGCTGGACAGG